GATTTACCCAATTCATCTCTCCCTTCCATTATGCAAGATCCTTCCTAATTTCTGTTTCTCTGAAAATGTGGGTGGGTATAGCAGTTCCTTATTTTCTCTGAAGATCTGAGCCTGAGAGCAAACCTTGGGGCAATCTGCCTTGAAATTTTCAGATGTATAATTTACCTACCAGAGAGCTGACGGCTGCAGGAGAGACTGAGTAGTATTGAGATTTGTCAACTAACTTTTATTGTTTTGTTTACTATTAGATAGAAATATACTGCACTTGACCCCATAATCGGTGATCTAACCCTTATAATTTTTTCATGTGATTAATGAGCTTAAAGTGTGTCTGTGTGTTTGTGTGTGTGTGTGTGTGTGTGTGTGTGTGTGTGTATTTAGCTAAGTCAAATATCACCAACAAAACCTGCTCATAAAACAAAGCTTGAGTTTCTTACTTATTTTGGCAAAGAAAACCTCCACTTACACAAAGCTTTGGCAATGTTTCAGAGGGGAATGTCTGGCTAGAAATTATTAAGAATTGGAAGTTTGGTTTAAGGTGGATATTTCAATGTGGGGTCTTGATTAAGATTGGGTAAGAATCATTTTACAATAATCCAGGATTGGTGGAAGCAGGAAGGTGAGGATTTTGAGGGGAGGAATTCAGAGAATTGTAGGGTGCAAACTGTTGATGCTTTCCATTGAAGAGGTGGTAGGTCTTTCAGGAAGTTCTGTGAAGGATGTAGGAATTAGATCCATTCTTTTTGCATGTGGTTGTCCAGATGTTCCTACATCATTTATTGACGATTATCGTTCCTCCATTGTATTGCCCTTGCTCCTTTGTCAAAGATCAGTGCACATTTAAGGAAAGGATGAGTTTGGCTTGGGAGAAAGATTAGTGAGGGCTTTACAGTAAGTGACATTTGTCCTGGGCTTTTAGAAGAGTAGGCCAACAAAAGATGGGCATTTTAGATAAAACATTGTGACTTGGTTCTTTTATTGTAGCTGGAAGTTACAATAAAGAAGTTACATTTAAGAAGAGAGCACTGCAGAACCTGAATACTTAATTATGTGTGCAGAACATGTCTTCTAAAAATATGCTATGAGTACAACTAGGGATGCTATGAACACATCTCCCTTTCTAACATTTGGTTTATGAACATCCTCTCCCTTCAACAACAGAAGTTATTTAATCCCAATGAAAATTATTATCTTGGTTCTTTTATTGTAGCTAGAAGAATGGATTTAGTCAAGTGAGATTAGAATGACTGACTATACAAAATATGCTAGACGTTTTGAAATTTTCATCCTTACAAATGTATGTTTTAACAATCTGGCCATTTTCATCCTGAACGTTTTTTCAATCTGAACATTACTCTTAACTAGTACTTGTACGCTTTTACAATATTATAATTGAGGTTTGTAACGATGATTCAATATGTTTTCTGAATCATATAATTATTAAATTAGGATATGTTTTTATTATTTCCAAACTGATAATCCGGTCTGTTGTTGCTGCTTTTATTTAACACTTCTAGATTAATTGGAGCATCTTTATCATGTATCTAACCTTGGGCTCATTCTTAATCATCTTTGATAACACAGAGTTTACAGTTAACAGACATATAACAAACAATAGCTGATAAATAGAGATTCATGCTATTATAGCAGTGTCTATCACAAAATAATTGTAATCTAACTAAAATTTTAACAAATGCTACCTAATTCTTTTTAATAAAAATATAAGAAATTTTCTACAATGAAGCAAAAACAAATACATCTTCATTTCTAATTTGATAGAATGTAGTCTGCTGGTGTCACCAGGACAGTAGATTTCAGGAATAGGCCAGATCTCATTTTAATCTGAGTTATGACACACGTTCAAGTTTGCCTTGAGGGGTCTTATCCAGTTACACCTTAACTCACTCCTGACTTCCCCAGGGATGGGTATGATGGCTCTGACTACAACAGGGGGCCTACAGAGGGACACAATCCTTTGACAAACATGAGCTGAGCATGAGGATTAGGGTTCCCTAGAAGCGGAGCCTGAGGGGGGCATGATCTTGGGCAAGCGATTTAGAGTGAGTGCTCTCAACAGTAGGGGAGTGAAAGAAGCAGGATAAGGTTGGAGAAAAATCCTAAGCCAGCTGGAAACAAGTTCTATCCTAATCCTAGGAGGAGCTCTGGGGTAGGATTTGCACGACAGAATTGGTCAACCTTGAGACAAGGTACCCTTGTACGCTTATCATCAGTCAGACATTGCTTGTAGGGTGCAGGGGTGTGTGTGTAGGGATTGGGGGTATTAGACAGCAATCTCCCAGGCAATGAATCTCTTCTGCAGAGTGTAATTCTCCAGAGAAGGAGGAAGCTGTAGTTATCAGCTAATACGCACAGCTTCTGAGGACCCCAGAACAGCTCTTAAGAAACAAATAACTGAAACATACTGAAGAGAGCACTGCAGAACCTGAATACTTAAATTATGCGCGTAGAACATGGCTTCTAAAAATATGCTATTAGTACAACTAGGGATGCTATGAACACATCTCCCTTTCTAACATTGGGTTTACGAACATCCTCTCCCCTCAACTACCCAGTTTGCTTAGCAGTAGTAGCTGGTGGTGAATTCTGCCATTAGGGCAAGATGCCCAGCAATGAAAGAACTGGATCCATTAGGAGAATTTAAGGCAGATGAAGTCTGTGGAATGGGGATATGGTGTGTATGGTGAAAGGAGCTAAAAGGGCAAGGTTTCTTTGTGTATGAGACCCACTCACCAATCTCCACCATTTGTTTATTTCTACTGGCCCTAGAGACACTCTTGTCAGCTTGTCTTTCCTCTGCCCACACTTTTGCTTTGCACCAGGATTTTTCTCTCTCCTGGCCTCTGAAACTCGACTTCTCACAGCTCTACCCCTTACATTGACATTTTCTAATAGTTTGACAGCTAGAAACAATGAAGAAAATTATGTAAAAAGTTTTCTCATGCTATCTCTGTCCTTTTTGTTTTCAAATTTAGCCAAGCCCAGACATGTGCACTATCATCGGGTGTTCAGGAAAAAAATAAAAGACAAGCTGATTCGTCTGCAATTCAAGCCTGAGAGGCTTTCCTAGGTTTGCAGTGATGGGTTCTGAAATGCCAAGTGAAAAAGAAGGTCAGGGAGCTACAAAAGAGGTACAGAGGTAGGGAGAAGGCAGTGCTTCATTTACCTCCAGCAAACTTGGGGATTTACCTTCTCCTTCGTCCCCAGTCCCTTCACCGTCCCCAGTCCCTTCACCATCACCAATCCTTCTCCTGAAAAAACCACTGTGGACCACCTGATGATAAGTTGGGAAGTAAGAGTGGGTGGGTGTGGAGCAATAATGACAACATCCTGGGTACTGTACACTCTGAAGGAATAGAGGAAATTCCTGTTTTGTTTTAACCTGGGACAGAGGGGATTGCCCTGTTCTCTCCAGGCTGAGGCAGTAATTCCTGACTCTGGGGACTGCTGATATGGAAATTACTACCACTCTGGATGGAGTCAGATTAGTATATTAACAAGTCTCTTTGTACTGTCTGAAAATAAGCAAGATCTTTGCTAATATCCAAGCTTTACAGAATGGTGGGGTAAGGTGAAGGCCCTGTATCTTTATCCCCTGTGGCCTTCAGTACTGGGCAGTAATGGGGCCTGTGTGGCACAGTGGAGGGCAATGAGTGAGCTGGTTATGCCAATTCCTACTCTAGTCACCTCCTTGGCTGCCAGCCTTCAAGGGAGACATCTTTGCCTTACTAGGGGCTGCCCTTCTGCTTCTGAAGAAAACCTAGTCATTGAGGCAACTCTTGGGGTGGGTAATTGGGGGAGAGAGAGCACTTGAAAAGAATTTATGGTGGCCTTTTTCTCAGTGATATTTCAGAGACACCAGGACACATCTGAATGTGTCTAGGTCTTGGCTGCATTTGTTATTAGCTCTGTGACCGTGGGCAAGCTATTGATTTATATGCAGTCTGACTAATCTGAGTTTTCTTAGCTGCTTTGAGCAAACAAAGGGGACGGGAAAGGGTAATACACTTAACTACCAGCAATGGGTTCTTGTGAGGATGAAGCAATAACAACAAAATGGGTTTAAAGCACTTAGTATAAGTGCCTGGTCCATAGAATCGCAAACACTGGATTTTGCTTATTTTAGTGCAGTACAAAGAGACTCTTTAATATACTCTTCTGACTCCAGCCAGAGTGGTAGTAATTTCCATATCGGCAGTCCCTAGAGTCAGTTATTACTGCCTCAGCCTGGAGAGAAAAGGGCAGTCCCCCCTGTCCCAGGCAAAATGATTATTATCATTTATTATTATTAGCCAGAGGTCTTAGGTGAGATCAAATTCAATCATTATAATTTCCATTTTGATATACTGCTTAACTCCGTGCCAGACAATGTTCTAGGTGCTCCTCACATGTGAAATTTTAATATTTTTACTGCAACCCTGGAGGTAAGTACTATTATCATACCCATTCTACAGATGAGAAAGCCAAGGAATAGCATGCTTGAATCACTTGCCCAAGATGCCGTGGTTAGACAGTGGTACAGTGGGGATTCGAACGTGGGAGCTAAGGTTTTAAAGTCTGTGCTCTTTACACATGCAGTTAAGAGTCAGACAAGAACCAAAGGAGATGGGGAATGGAGGGTAGAAAGGGCACAGGTTTAAGGTGAAAGGTCAGAAACTGTAAATTCGGAGTTTGTGTTGGTCTAGCAGCTTGAAGGCATCATCATGAACTGTTCACCAAACAAGTTAAGCTCCTATTTGAGAATGATTGATAATCTTGCAAGACAACTTACAAACTGGGGAAATGTTCCAATAGATGACTAAGTCTTTTAAGTCTTTTTAACCTGGTTTTTCGGTCTCTTTACCAGATTAGTCGCCTGGCTCTCCCAACCAGACAGGCTAACGACGTGGTCGCGAAGGGGTTAATGTCGGGGCCTGGCCGGCGTGGGTGGGGGGTGGAGGGTGGGTAGGAATGGAAGGAGCGGAAGCGAAGCGGCTTGTGGGAGCGCCGTTGTGCACCGCCTAAGTGAGAGCGGCGGATGGGTGACGGTCGGGTCACTGCGACTGCCGCTGCTTTCCGAGGCCACAGGACAGGGGCCATCGGCCGCCGCCAGGACAGCTAGCGAGGCGGAGGTTTGTGGCATTTCTTACGGACTGAGGGCGTAGACACATCCCGCTTCTAGCAGAGCTGGCAAAGGGGAACGGAAGTGATGGGGATAGGAAGTTGCGAGGGAATGAGGAGTAGGGGGAACTGACAAGCGGTAGGACCCGGCGGCGACAATTGATGGCGTAGTTGTAGGATTAAGGGGCGTGTCAACTGTGGTGTGTGTGTCGATACTGAGATGTGTGAATCTACAGGTTATTTGTAGTCGGGAATAGGCAGGGTCTAAGGGTGAGGCGGAAAATGAATGAATGGAGGATAAAATCAGGGCGAAAACGTGTTGTCTGCCGGACACCAATACATCTGAGTCACATCTCGGCAAGATGATTTTATTGGAAAGATCTAGGTCCCTGGTTTCAGATTCTGCTATTGATGCATTGATTGATTTCCTTTACCAAAATACCAAGTACCTGCTCTGTGCTGGGTACTACACTAGAGGCTCCGGACGAGGAAAGGAATTAGGCTTTTACCTCGTCATTTACAGCCTGCCGGTTGCTATATGCATTTGGAGACAGGCAATTACAAAATAAGGAGACAGAGATAGATCCTGTGTTATGAAAACGTATTGGGGGCGACCGAACTCACCTGGGAGTTGAGATCTGAGACGGCTGTTTGATGTGGTGATTTAACATACATTTTGAAGACAAAATAAGCAGGGCAAAAACGAAGCACAATTTTCCTCCAGGCACTTTTCCTCTCTGTTGAGGTCAAGTTCAGCTACTTGGAGAACTGAGTAACACTTAAGGCCCAAAGCCATTTTTTTTTTCCCTTTCCTTTTCTTTTCTCTTTTGAGAGGGAGTCTCCTTCTGTCGCCCAGGTTGTAGTGTAGTGGCATGATCTAGGCTCACTGCAACCTCTGCCTCCCAGGTTCAAGCGATTCTCCTGCCTCAGCTTCCCGGTTTCTGGGATTACAGGTGACCGCCACCATGCCCGACTAATTTTTGTATTTTTAGTAGAGACGGGGTTTCACCATGTTGGCCAGGCTGATCTCGAACCCCTGACCTCAAGTGATCCACCTGCTTGGCCTCCCAAAGTGCTAGCATTACGGGTAAGAGCCACTGTGCCCAGCCCCCACAACTAGTTTATTTTTGGTAAGAGCTTTTGCCCATCACAGTGGTATTTCCAGGCTCCTCTGGAAGAATCAGTCTTATATGAGAGCAAAGCCTGCAAGCTCTGGGTAGGACTACAATGCAGTGCCAGTTATTTGGTTTTCCAGCAAGCTCAGTTCACAGCAGGGAATTGTGCACCCACCAGAAATCCTAAGCAATATTTTAAAGCTTCTGAACAAGAAAAGCAGCCTCTTTGTTTACCGAAGAAACAACAGTATAGCACTCTAAGTCAGTGGCTCTCAAA